TAAATACAGAAATTATGGGAGCGTTAGCTCCCATAATTTCCAAAGGCCTCTCAAACAAAGATGTTTATGTCCAGTACAGAAATGACGGGAGCCATTTGTGGACTGTCCATCACGAATACAAGATTCAATCCAAGAGTATGAATCTAAAATGCAGAAAAGAGAGAAGCAATATATCAATCAAAGCTCAACGATACTACCGGTAACATCGGCGTGTGTAGTTATATATTTCGACGTCTTCGGGCAGTAGAGGCCACACTGTCAAAATTTCTTTAGGAATTTTCTAGTTATTATTAAGCCCGCAGGATTACAGTCAGTGTGCTTTGGCACAGGCAGTTTCACTGCCTTGTGCCACAAAGCCACACTGAATTATTACTTTTGTCTTTTTTAGCACTTTTTTCAGTAAAGTGCTGTAATAATAATAATCATAGTAATAATTCTTATTATACAATGAAAACGATTGACAGTTGTTTGTATTGACTGACAGCAGCCCTCTTACTCCCCCTGCTGACAGAGATCTGACCTGCATTACCTGCTGCTGTTTGGTCATTCCTACCCAGACGGTGGTCGCTGCAGTGCAGGCGGCCTGGTGTGGTGTCTTTGCACCCAATAAGAAGCTGCAGCGTTCTCCAGGAAAATGAACATCAGATTCTGGTTGTCAGGTGCCCCACTGTTGCACTAAATAACAGGAAGCTGGAGCTGTGAATCTTTGCAGGTTGAGCAACTTTTTTCAGCAAAGTGCTGTAAGATAGAAGAGAAGAAAAACAACCGGTCCTAGCTAAAGGGAAGTCTGCACTGCTGACTGCATAAACCCCCCACAGCTCATTAAAGCAGACTCAGCAAAACCCAGGAACATCAACAAATGAGTTAACAACACAACTAATGGTCTCTGGAAAGTTGATAAAGATGTTTTAGCTGCACTGGTTGCAACTGGTGCAACAATTAGCACACAACATTTTTGCACTAGGTGGAACATAAAATATTATATACTGTATATATAATGTCTTCAATAAAATAGTTATTTATTGAATGCAGATAAAATGCCAGTAAAAGCAACTTAAACTGCAACTTGATCATTATTTTAAAATCTATTTTTCTTTTTCTATAGGGTATATATGAATATTCCTGCAACATTTGGGAGAACATTAATCATATATGAATATTCCTACAACATTTGGGAGAACATTGTAACCCTAGCCGGTCTCTGACTCAGCCTTTATCCAAGTATCGTCGTCTTTTTGTAATATTCAATGTCGTAACACCATAAAAATACTACAATGCAATGCTACATGCAAGTAAAAAGTCTGCATTCTTATTTGACTTAAGTAAAAGAACACAAGTATAAACCACAAAAATAACTTGGTGTCAAAAGTAAATTTACTCAGGCTTTTTTCAGTGATATATTATTATAGATTATAATATTGAGTCTTAATAATATGAATCAGCTACTGTGTTAGCTGGTGGAGGTGGTTTATACGTGTTTAATCTGTACACTCAATTTTATATTATGTTTTTTTATCTGAAATGTAATTAAGGATAAGTATAAAGTTAAATAAAATGGAAATACTCGAATAAAGTACAATACCTTCAAAAGTACCGTGCTAGAGTAATTCTACTCTGTGACATCCCACCACTGATTAAACCAGACCTAAATTTAAAACATATTTCACATACACAGGAGGCCGGCATATACTGTGATGTGTGATGTGCATTTTGCTTTTTGATAATCGTCTCTGACTAAAATGCTTTTTGGACCAAAGCTCTGCTCACTTGTGAATCGGAATATTACCTTCTTTTTTTTCGGCTCTTAGATAATAGTGTAAATTTCAATGGTTGTCTGTTCGAAAGAGACGATGGAAACAACAGCAAACATTTACAGCACGTGACTGTAAATAGAGTGGAAAGTATGCCAGGCAAGAAGTGAGTCTGCATTCCGGTTCAGGAAGCAGAGGAAAAAAGGGAAGAGGAGGAACAGTGAAGTCCCACAGTGTGTCAGAGCTCATCAGAGGGTGGTGGTGGTAGGGGGGTGGGGGGGCATTGTCATGCTTTCTGTTCTCCGCACAGTCACAAATTCAGAATGTCATTTGATGAGTCATTGTTCACTTTGACCCTTCACCTTCATGTATTTTACTGCGTGTGGCTGATTTGAGTGATTCATGGTGAGTCATCCTGTGCTATACATGTCAGCTCATATCCAGAATGCCCAGGGATTCCCACGACACACACAGGCACGCAAAACGTGCACAGATACTGTACACGCAGCTGTGCATATAGTCACACATTTATGTAAGAATGGCTATTGTTCTAAAGCAAATATTCAATAGAGACACAGTAGCTCATATAGCATACACACACAAAGACTTTCGTTTTAAAATGCTGCTCCCAAATTTCTATCCCAAAATCATCCTACATAAAACATATTTGTTAATTCTTATGATGGTGATGTATTCTCATTAATAGGCTACACATTATACAAATAATATGAAATCACCTGATCACCAAGTTTTAAAAGGTCTATACTTCACAGACGCCGCACAGTGTGGTGAGCTGGGTAAACATGATATAGCAGTGGTTCTGGTCTACTGGAAAAAACAGTGCATATGGAACACTGGGTGCCAGGAACTGGCAGCGTTAGCTCATTAAGCCCATGTTATTTTACCGCTTACGCTCTTCTTTCGTGTTTTTTAATTTTAATAAAACATTGAGGTGAGGGACTAGCATGCCAAGAAACATATATGGCTGTCATTCAACCTGGCTCCCTCTACGTTTATTCCAGTAAAAGCTCAAATTAATATTTAATAAATTATAAAAGAGCAATATGAAAAGAATTAATTCCCTGACTTCCCCTGACCTCTATGGGTCATTTCTCCTGCTGTAGCAGGTGACAGGGTACAAGAGGTCTGGACAGAGAAGCAGACTGGTTGGTCTGTTTTTAGGAAAGCGGAGGAAGGCTGTAGTTTTGTGCACTGGAATTCTTTCTTCTTACTGATCATCTGCAGAGGACTCTAAGTGATTAACTTAGAAACGTGTTTTGCTTCTTCCTCTTTGTGGCTAGCCTGAACTTGTTTTGTTTTTCTGGGAAAATCAGCGGCTGCACGCTGGCCCGTTCTTCCCAATCCAATCCTGAAGCACAACAGTCACAAACCATACAAATCAACCTAAATCATTCTTAAATGTTTGTTTTACAGTCTTTTTGTCTTTTCTTCTTGGAGGCGCATTCCTGCTGGGACACATACGGTAGCGAGTTCCACAGTAGCAAAGCATTAGACTAAATCCTTCCCCCTCTAAAATATCACAAGCATCATAAAGACCGAGCTTATCACAGACTTGGTTACACCATCTCGGTTTCCTTTCCCATATTTTCTAGTTAGAGCACACTCCAACCATAAATAGGTCATCAACAAAGTGTGAATGACTCGGGTTACATTTTGAAAAGCCCAGAAAAGCCAGCTGGGAGACACCCCGGGAAAACACTGATCACACAAAACAAATACAGGCAAGTGTAGTTCCTTCCTTCCATGTGTGCTGCTGCTAGTGCAACCTTTAGGTGTTTGTTAAATGTTTAGTTGTTTACAGTTTAGTTTCTGGCCCCTTCTAAGCATCACTTGCTGCAGATTTTTCTTGTCTGTTCCAATAACATAAACGGATAACTATCAACTCACAAATGGAAAGCTGAGCAATGTAGACTGGTGTAGAACTTTGGTAAATGTTTCTAATATACTTGAAATATTAAATTCAGGTCTAAATACATAAAGCTTTGTGCAAACGTGTAGCACAATCCCTTCCAGCCTGCTGTGTGCATTCCTCTCCCCCGTTCACCTTATTACGGTTCAAACAGAGGTCTTGTCTTCACTGTGGATGCATCGCATGTACTCAGAATGAACCGAGAGGCCGTGTGGTTTGTTGTCCTCTCTACAGTCTTTCCATCGCTGCAGCAGAAACTGACATACAGACGCAGAATGCAATGTCAAACTGAGACATGCAACAGTCGCACAGCACATTATTCTCAGTTTAACCCTGTGCAACATGGTAAATACCCAAATCTAGTTAACAGTGCATAGGAGTCTCAGCAGAAACAGCACGCATTTGCATAAATGTGCTGCTCAACAGTCACTATCGTGACAGTAAAATATGTGCTGAGAGTGGCGGGGCCTGAGCCTTCCCGTCTAACTGGTTGCACAGACGGAACAATGGGAGGTAAAACAAGCCCGGAGTTTCCCTCAGGGCCTCCGGAACATCACGTTCGACTCAATGTTTGTTTTCTTGTTGAAAGGGAACGGTCGCACGCTCCCCAAGTCTCGCGGCCTTAGAGTCCTTCCATTTTCATCCGCAGAGGAATTGAATGAGTGATCCGATGCTGGGTTATTAAAGGCACTGTCACATAACCAGTGGGAGTTTGGCATCACTCTCTATAAGCACAGTTGGTTTGACGCTTGCAAGAAACAACTGATAAGGATTTTTTTGGAGAAAAAAAGGTCCGTCCAAGAGATTCAACAGAGACGTGCTGACGAATGTTCCAGTTTTAGGACTCTCCATGCAACCACCCCTCACCAACCACATATGTGCAACCATATAAATGCACCAGAAGCCTGTGCTTCAACTTATTCTGATTTCCCCATTCTTGTAGAATTAACACTGGAGTTATTGATGCACTGCTTTCCTTATTATTTTGTCCAGGGTTGGGTTGACTTAGCAGTGCATACTAACAATACTATAATACTATATAGTTTGCATACTAACTGCTGATTTCAAGTTGGAGGTGTAGATAGAGATGATATATGCATATTTGTTGAGGAAACACTTATGCAAAGACTGAAATACTGCAGAAATGTGTGCAAGTGTAGCCTGCAAAGAGACTTTGCTCTCTTGGTGACAAACTGGGGAGTGTATTTATATGTGTCTGAATAGAAATCCCCTCTTGGTGCCAGCGCCTCTGTACACTGTGTTATTCTGAGTGACAGTGTTCTGGAAATCCCCCACCTAGTCGTTAGCTCCGCCCCGCCGCAGCAGAAGGGCATTTACAGCCATCTGCACAACTCCGCCCGCAGACAACTAAGCGCACCCTCGTCCCGAACAACAAGCCACCATGGCCCTGCACCGGACCAGTATATTAAACCAAATGGATTACGGCCGGGAGTCGAAAGAAGGGAAGCCGGCTCCGTCGGCGGAGGAGCGGCTGGACAGCGGCTTGGACTCGCTGAAGGAGGAGGAGTACCAGGCTGTGGCGGCCGAGATCCGTCAGCTCCAGTTGGAGTGCGAGCCGCCGCAGCGCAAACAAGCTCTCACTGCAACCGGAGAGCCGCACGAATGGAAAACGCAAATCACGGAAGACGGAGACACGTAAGTCGGACCAGGATAAACCGTTAGAAAAAATAAATGAAGCATGGGGATATTTACGAGTTGTGTGAATGTAACGTTACGGCTCGGCTTGTAGAAGAAGGCCCAGCTCGCGGGTCTCGGAGGTAATTTGATCCCTTTCCTGTGGGGAATGTCTGCCTCTAGCCTGTCATTACAATGCAAAGGAACAGGCCCAACTGTGTCCGTGTTGGGGCTTCATGTAGTATTAGGGCTCTTAAAAACGACGTCGCCGCAATGTTAACAATACACATAACGGGTATCCGGTTTGATAACGGGTTTAGTTGCGGCCAGGCACTGCGGTGTTGGACGTAAACAAAAGGCTATTATCAGGAGGGAATCTACTATGGCCGCAGGGTCAGACTGGGAAAGTCCCGGGCGCGCCGCCAAGGAATCCGACCGACGCGCGCTCCCGCGATGCGAGAAGAAGGGGAAAAAAACAAAACAAGAAAAAGTTAAATTACATAAAACGTTAAGTGTGCGGAGGTTTGAGGGCGAAACCCACTTCTGGAATACGTGTCTGCGGCTCGTTGCTGTCATTAGACCAGGGGGAAGAACATTAAGGGTGTATATCCAAATATAGTATTAATAGTTCATATTAAGTTAATAGTTCAGAGCAGTATAGTAGAAATAGAAACCCTTTTTATTGTCATATACATATACACGGAATTTGACTTCTGCATTTAACCCATCCCTGTATATAGGGAGCAGTGGGCTGCCAATGACAGGCGCCCGGGGAGCCGGGGGTTCAGTGTATTGCTCAGGGACACTACGACACGTGTCCCAGTCGAGGATCGAACCGTTGGTTACCAGACAACCCTCTTAAGCCAGTGAGCCACGGTCGCCCCAGTAACAGTAACTGTTCTCATGGCACGTGCATACATGATGCGCTATCGCGTCAAAAGTTGAACAACATGACTTTATTAATCAGGACGAAGAGCCGAAACGGTCTCATATTAGGCCTGAAATCATGTTTAAAGTTCAGGGGGCATACGAGGTTCTCAACGTGGGGTCTGGGGAACACTTGGAGGCCATCAACAGCTTCTTGGGGGCCTTTATTACATTTGTTTACATTCATCTCCTGTAATGGCATCCTAAGGCAACTGTTCCCAATACATCAAGTGCTATACTAGCTGCTCCGCTCTGCTTACAAAACTCAATTTGATCTGAGTCTAAATGAAAAGAAAACAATTAAGTAATTCAATTGCGTAAACTTGGGGAACTTCTGTGTTCTATTTGACGTTTTTCTTAACGGATTATACTTCCTGCTAACGGGAATGTGTATAAGTCACACAACATTGTTCAACTTTTTCAGAGCTGATTTTTCAATACTTTGCAATAATCTAAAAAAAAAACAAAAAAAACTTATGTCTGCACTTGATTCAGCACAATCTTAGCTAAAGACAGCTTTTCACTGTTCAAAAGTAACGGTATCAGACGAAAACCACAAACGGAGTTATTTGCTGTTATTTACTGTCTTACATAACATCAAGTGACTGTCACTAGTTTCCTTGTGGGATGAAAAAAACAATAATACTATAGATTAGATTGTGTTGTTTATGTGTATTGTAACAGGTTTTCTACCACCCCTCTCTGTCTCTATAGGCTGCTCCACCTGGCCATCATCCACGAGGCCAAGGACTACATCAGAGGCATGATAGACCTGTCCAAGAACACAGACTTCCTCGACACACAAAACGACCAGAGACAGGTATTGAAGGGGATTATCCTCACGTAAAGAGTAATAAAAATGTCCTCTGACTCGGCAACTCACCCGTCTTCCCCCGACTTCTTTCTCTTCCCAGACTCCTCTCCACTTGGCAGTAATAACGGACCAGGCGGACGTGTGCCAGCGCCTGCTGGTGTCCGGCTGCGACCCCACACTTGTGGACGACAGCGGGGACACGCCTCTTCACATCGCCTGTCGCCACGGTAACCTGTTGTGCTTCAGCGTCCTCACGCAGAACTGTCCGCCGGAGCATCTGCACACGGTGATGGCCGCCTGCAACTATCACGGTGAGATTGTAGAACGAGGATGGCGGTTCTTTGACCGTTTACCACATTTCTGATAAATGCTTCAGTCGTCGATGTTGAAGCTATACTTGTTTACTTGGAACAGAAATGTTTGTATTTAGCAGGGCTTGGCTAAATGACTACGTTTCGACATTAGAATATTATGGAGGTAATTTCCACCTGGAAACAGACCAGACACTGACCAGTCTGCTGCTGGTCTTAACTGCTATTTAGACGGAGGAAGGGTGGGCACGAAAAGAGTAACTTCCATCCTCCCATTATCCCTGAACACTATGTTTAGGGGGAAGGAAACATTTTAAGCAAGCGAGGGGAATGCCACATTCACGCCATCACTTCCTGACAAAAACCCATCTATTACGTGGCTCCCAAATAGAGTAAGACTTGTGGACATGTCTGATTCTTCTTTGGGGGAACCACATTTTTAAATGTAAAATAAAAAATGTAACAAATATAATGTAGAATAAAAAGGACCTGTGCAAAAGCCTGTTGTCCCTTAGTAATCAGCATCAACATGGCAGAATAATATGAATCCACATTAAAGTATCAATACTTTGTCCGGGCAAATACTATTTAGCTGTTGCTAAATCTTAATTAACTTGAGATCCACCTTTTTCCTAGAAAACGTCAGGTACATAAATATGACGTATGCCGGTCTTGTGTCAGTTATTAAGCTCTTCCTGTGATTGTGTTCTTGCAGGTCAGAACTGCCTCCACCTGGCTTCAGTTCAGGGTTTCCTGTCACTGGTGGAGAACATGGTGGATCTTGGAGCTGACATTAACTCAAAGGTACACACACCAAAGCCATATGTTAGAATATACACTTACATAGTATATATGTACGTACAGAATTCTTCATTTGTTTTAAGGACCAGCACCCCCGCCTGTCACTAATTCAAATCTTGAATCTCTCCCTGTCCTGTAGGAGCAGCGTAACGGTCGCAGTGCGCTGCACCTGGCCGTGGACCAGCAGAATCTCTCGCTGGTCAGACTGCTGCTGAAGAAAGGAGCAGATGCCAACCTCCTGACCTCCGGGGGCCACACTCCCTTCCACCTCACCTACGGCCGCAGCGACGACGACATCCGGAAAGAGCTGTACTCGCTGACCAATCCCGACCTGCGAGAGCTGCCCGACAGCGAGTCGGACGACAGCGAGGAGGAGGAGGAGGACGAGTCCGACGAGGAGGTGCGTGTTGAGAATGCGGAGCTGCCGACCGTGACATTAAAATGAGCTCACTGGCCAGTGTGTGACCTTTTTTTTTTATCTGTGTTTGCAGGTGGGTTATGACGACATACAGTGGAATGGACATTAGCAGGAAGAAGGAGGGGGGAGGAAGTTACAGAGGCAGGAGGATGCGATGATGACGACGGTAAAGGACAAGAGAACGGGCTCTGCACGTCTACTACTTCCTGCAACGACGTCACACGACAGCGTTGGTGGGGGGGAGGGGGGAACGGAGGCCGACGGAACAGATGGACAGACGGCAACAACGAGTCCGTCCCAGGCTGCGGGAGAGCAAACACGCCGAGCTTTGACTACACCACGACGGGATGAGTTTTGCTGTATGAGAGGATTGCTTGTAATTTGTGGACACCACCAATCATTTGTCACAAAAAAAAACATCCATCCACACAGATGTACCTGCAACAGCTCTGTTGTATGATATTGTAAATGCTGTGTATACAAAGATGTATTTTTTATGGAAGCTGTGAATGTGTACAGTTGAGCAGGTTGTATATGTCAGGCAGCAAACAGTCCAGCACACTCCAGTTAAATTAAAGTCACTCATATTTAACAGTACAAAATCTGTGTGCATGTTTGTGGGGATGGGATTGGTGGCATGAGGGGTGGCATGTGATTGGAAGATTACAGTTAGTCATTGATGGTAACTAGTTTGGAGAGAAAGCTCATTAAGAACCCAACGTATAATCAACAGCGCCTGACAATACGACAAGGCTGCGATTATACCAGACATCACTTTTACCACTTGGCTTCTCTGCCGCCGTCAGTATGTCTGCTTCTGTGAAGGCCTCCACCCAAACATGACAGCTGAGTTTGAGTTTTATTTTCATGTTACGCAGGAAAGGGCCAATAACTCGTTTCCACTGAATGAGGAACTGACGGCTAATTGAACTCTCAACAGTTCCTCTGTGTGTGTGTGTGTGTGTGTGTGTGTGTGTGTGTGTGCGTGCGTGCGTGCAGAAAGAGATAAGAAGCATAAGGGGAATTGTGAGGACGGTCACTCGGTTATCTAAACCAGGAAGTTTTTAGGAGGGTGGGGCTAAGGAGGAAGGGACAGGAAATTCCCAGGAACAGAACTCAGCAGTTTCGCGACATTCCACTTCTCGTTCCTCCAAAGAAGGGAATCTCCGCCGAACAACAGGACGCTTCATTCAAGCTCGGGGCGGAGGGGAGTTTTACTCCAGTTCCAGTAAAATAAATATCAAGCGTCAAACTGCTAATTACGCTTATGTAAGTATGATTATAAAGCAGCTCAGTGTGTTGGCTTTACGCTCTGCAACTTTTAACATACAATGGAGATGTAATGTAACTTTATAACAGCTGTGAGTACAAACTATAAAAACTAATATATTTTAAATATTTGCAAGACCCTTTTTAATGTGCCTAAATTGTAGACACCACAAATATTTTCCCAAAAAGAAACATCTATGCTTCGCTGCAGTGTTCATGGTGGACTGTTTGGAGTAAAAGCGTACTAAAAGAGCTGCATACATGCGATCTTTGGGGGAGTACAACACATTATGCATACACAAGACACAGTATTCACCCCCACCCACTATCATGAGACGAGCAGTGCAACTGCTGTAGTGATATTTCTCCCCAAAGCCCCTTTCAGACTTTTACCCAGCTAGTATGTTTTTAATTTTAGCACCTTTCGACAGCAGAGGGAAACAATGTAAATACAAATGTATTTATATTGTCCTTCCATATAAAATACACCCCAGTGAGCTGTATTTTTGCAGAAATCTAAAACTTATGGAGTTATAAATTGGCAACGCTGAATGTGAAAGTAATGTTCACTCCCACAGCAAAGGAACTGTAACATGGACAGACAAGCACATGCTGCCCTCAAGTCTGAATTACCCGCTTCACTTTTACTTCAAATTCATGGTGGTGATACGCAAAGAAAAGGAAACTCAAGTGTTGGATAAAAACATTGCTTTTAATAGAAGTGCAGTAATGTACAGCAGTGGCAGCAGACGGGAGGATCGAGACACGGGAGAGGATGATGTAATCAGTGACTTCTCGTTGACGTTGACCTGAGCAGACCTGAACGAGGGTGTGACAATGATGGGAGAATTCCCACAGCTGTTCCCCGAGTACACCACAGCGTAAACATCATCCTGAAGCTAGAGACAGTGGAGGGGGGACTTTAAAGCCGGGTATTAAATGGGGGGAGATACGCGTTGTGGCGGCCCTGAGTAAATGAGATTGGAAGCTCTGATGACAGTGACTCGAGAAGCTACTGAACAACAGAGTCGGTAATTTGTAAGAGGTATTGTGCTGTAGTTGTAGTGTCACCACACCCCGTTCTTCCAATCTGCTCATGTCACGCTCGTCAACGGAAGTCATTTGGGCTGAGCTCCATCCACGCAATGATGAATGTCTCTGTGACATTTGGCAGCTGCCTGCAGTATGGCTAGAAATGCAATACATAATATTGGTTCCAGTCAGGTCCTGGCTATGACCAGTCAGGGTGGAGGAGGGGTAAGTGCAGGTGGGTAACGTATTCTACCCAAGCTGCTAATGAGGACCATATTGTTCTTTACTGTTTTATCTTTTCTGTGTGTCTCAACCTCACTGTGCGGTACCGCCGATTCTGAACAAGATGATACCAACTCCTCATTAATCTTCCTTCTAGGATGAGAAAAACCTGTGTGTGGAGGAGGTGTGTGTGTGTGTGTGTAGGGGGGGGGGGGTTGTGTGTTGTCGTTCATCCTTTTCAGAGCTTTCCTCACTCTCTCTCAGACAAAGCAACCAGGTGGACATCGATCTCAGCCTCGGACAGAATCCTGGAACACAAACACACAAGTTAACAGTCATCATTTGTTACGCCAGATTTTATAAGCTTTTCTCTCTCACACACACGGACACACACACAGACGGACATTTTTGAGAACACATTTAAGCCCTTGCTTTGATCTCATCCCTGGTTTTTGTTTTGGGGAATTTCCATTACAACACTATTCTGTTTTTTATTCATTTTTTAAAATAGCTCTGATGCATTATTAACAATGCCAAGACATTACCACGTTTCAGCACTTTCACTTTCCCCCCCAGTGTCGGCACTTTAAATCAGATAAATACTCACTTGAATCTTGACTCTTTTGTTGTGATGACTCCCACCTCCAGCTCCGAGGGCTTGAAGTCGATGGACAGAACGCCCGCCAGACACGAGATAGCCGTCTGTGTAGAGAAGAGAGGGAGAGTTGTTGAGACGCATGAGAGGAAGCAGGGGAGAAGGAAATAAAATGAACCTTTGGAAACAGGAGCCCAGAGTGTCAAATAACCGAGAAAGATGGGACATAATGTATAAATGTGTTTAAATATCTGTTGACATTTTAAAAAGACGTTAGAAAAAAATGTTTGTCCACCTGCTCTCTGTGTGACATATTTCACTTGTTTGCTTTGACTTCTTATTCTTCTACCAAGGGGAGTACATTAATATCTGGGAAATATTAACCAATATTTTGAACAGAATATCTACTAAATAACAAATCAGTTTTTATTAGACTACTATCTGGATTCCTAGAGAGCCGGACTTGTTTAACTGCATCAATGGCTGCAAGCGTTTGGTTTCCACTTCAGTTGTTCAAAGAGCCACTAAGTAGTGCGGTCATATTCCAGTAGAGGGACATTTCCTCCGTGACATTTTCTGACACCCAAAGCACTCCTTCACTTTTCCTGCCAAGGAAATTCCCAAATAATTCCATGACATTCAGCCCTGATCCGTCAGGTTGCGTGTGCGCTACCTCTATGGTCTGCTGATAGGTCCAATCCAGTTTCTTCTTGACTTTCTTCTCTAGGTAGCTGGTGGCCTCAGTCTGTTTGACTCCAGCTGCCGTGGCCTTAAAGCCACAGTAGTAGCCGGCTGGATCACACTTATAGAGCTGCGGACCCAACTCTTCATCCAGCCCGACCACGATCATACCTTAAGGCAGAGGGGAATGATCTGTTCAAACATGCTCTAAACAGCACTTTGACAAATACATTTTACTCAAAGATTGTTTCTAACAGCCATGTTCAAGGGCTGGACCAATATCAGGTTTCAAAGATATAACATGTAAAATGAAGCTGCAAATATTCTGTGCCGTGTTCAGAATCAAGCTGTGATGAAAAGCCTCTGAAACGCCGTTTACACAATATTAACAACACTCTTAGCAAAACAGCTTTCACTATAGATCTCAATACATCACAAAGTAATGTTAATATTAAAGAATGGACCGGCTCTGGTCATGAAGAAACATATATTATTTAGAAAATGGACGACAACAAGTGGTTTTGAACATTTCTAACAGGTCAGTTTTGGTTAAAATAAGAAACAATTATATAACACTAACAATCATAAAGGACTACTCAGCGAACTACTCACAGCAGCCTAGCGGCCTCATCTCAGCATTCTGTGTGTAGACCTGGGAGATGTCCGCCATGCGTTTGCACAACATGTCCACAGGGATCTCATAGCCGTATTTATACATCCAGTTAGCTGCTTCATACCGAGCCCTCTGCACCTGGGACCTGCTGTCAGCTGGAGGGAGGAAGAGGACAAACACATGACAGAACATGAGCATTTTTACAGTGAAAGAATATGATGAACTTCTTTGCACAAATGTGTCCATGAGACAAGAGGAGTCGTAGAGACGGGTGATTCAATACTCTCAACATGGTTGTCAGACAAGGCCGTCACTGACACATATCATTTTAAATGACTGACTAGGAGTAATCACCATCAGATGGACGAGACATTGCTTACCTGTCATGCCAGTCATAACACAGCCGATGCCCTCTGTAATTTTGTACAGATGTGTGACTGTCAAGGAGTCCAACAGCTTGTCCTGAGAAACACACATGACAAAGACAGAAAGATATCTCGGTCACATACACCACAAGTAACGCAAGCTGTGGAATCGGACCACATTCTCTGTGAGGACAGAGAAACATAAACGTCTGTGTGTGTGTGTGTGTGTGTGTGTGTGAACTAATGTGAGCGTGTATACTGACTGGAACTTTCTTTTGTGTGACAACCACAACACAGTCGTTCCCTCTGACCGCTACAGTTGTGAGTCCTCCCTGGTTGATGGCTTTGAAGGCGTACTCTGCAGACAGAGAGAAGGGGAAGACTGCACTTCAACGTTTGGACAATTCTGTGCAAACCTACCAAGTTAGTCGTTTTACATGCAACTTCATTTTACATACGCACAACTATTCAATATTACACAATTTATACCGTTGTAACGTATGAATAGTGTTTTCTCATGTTTCACAGATTTTCTTTTGACAATTAAAATTGGTCTTAGGCCAACATTTCACAGTTATGATGACTTACTTCATCATTATATAAATTATAATTAATACAATTGTGAGCTGGGGTTATTAGCGGGTTAAGGTTACTTGTCTATTTGCTACATTAGCTAAATAAGGAATTAATTTTAATTCTTATACAAATGTTAATCTAACGTTAAACATGAGTTAATAGTAGCACTGCGCAGCTAACTGAAGGTAGCTAAGAAGCTAGCACCACCAACAAAACGATCCTGTTAGTTACTTAATTACTACATAACTATGATCAATTACAGTTAATCATATATCAGTAGCTCATATTCTGACCGATCACGATGCACTGACTCCTTTTCTAAATAACGAGTTATGAATGGGCTAGCAAGGAGCTGCTAGCTGATGTTAGCCTGTTAGCAAGTAGTGATGACTGAGCAAGTTGAGTTTGGTTCATTTCACCGACGTTACTCACCGACTTGGTAGAGTCTTCCCTCCGGGGAGAAGATGGTGATGTGGCGGTCAAACCCTGCACTCGACCCCCGAGACATGCTGGCTGGAAATAACGTTAAACTGAAGTTGCAACAAAACCGAGGCTACAGAGCAACAACAAGGCAGAACATCTACACCGGATGTGATCTGTCCGACTGGAATCTTCCACATCCGGGTCACCTCCGCAGCTCTGTAGCTCACAGATGTCACCACTGACTACAACCCTACATTCATGCATAGAGAGGCAAATCGAATCAAATGTAATTTTTCCAAGTCTCAAAAGTTAAATTGAAGAGTGCCGGCCACTTAGTTCTTTGTTGTAAATGATTTATTTACAAGTCCACAGTTATAATCAGAACATATGAGTTGTGTGTGTGTGTTCAGTGCTTTGTGGTGAGGCAGAGCCACCGTTGTGGTACTTCATAGGTGCTCCTGTCCTCTGTGTCGTCGTAGGGAAGGTGCCACGAGTCCGCTGATGTCTGGACAATGGTGTCATAGCTGGTAATACTCTAAACACACAAACGGTTAATTGGTATGCTTATTTAATTTGTTCCCAATCATCAACTCCCTCTCCGTTCATACCCCTCCTGCTGCTGCTGCTGCTCCTCCTCTTCCCTCACCTGAAATCGGACTCTCCTGCCTGCTGCGACGTATCCGTCCACTACCAGCTGGTGGCCTCTCTGCCATTTGAAGAAGAGCCGTCGGGTGGCTCCGTCTGGCAGGCAGGCCTTGTGGTCCCTCATCAGGTCCCTGCTCACGAACCGACAGTGGTTCCCGGAATGCAGCGTGGCGTACAGCAAGAACGGGTCGTCCTCCGAGCTGACAAGACGCAGAGACCACAAGGTGTGAGGTTAACTCGTTACAAATAAAAATATCTCAAGAGCAGAAAGGTTGTAAATAAAAAGAGGTATAGCCGAATAACAATGTGCCGAATGATAACATGTGAATTCATATTCCCTGCTGTGGTTTATTCTTTATTAAATCTTATTAAATCAGCCTCCCTGTCTTTTTCTATTGAGCATATTCCATGCTCTTCTTTGTTTTTTAGGTATCATGTGCTCACATGTTTTCAGTGAAGAAGCAGTGAGCCTTCTGCTGGATAAGCTTCATGTTGTTTCTCTCCCAGGACCTGGAGGGCCGCAGCATGTGTTTCCTCCCCAACACCAGAACAGTCAGGCCCTGACCCTCCAGCTCTGACACCACCGCCAACAACTGAAACACACACGCACACGCCTCAACACTTTTATCTATGTTGACATAAAAAAAACCAACATGAATATTTAATGTCACACACGTCTGTCTTTGTCTTGCAGCCACATAACGTCTGAGAAAGCTGTGACGTATTTGAACTCAGAGCGAAAAAGTACCGATAGTTGACACATAACACACATCCTGGTAGACAGACAGATGTGGGCAGGCTAAGTGTTGTTAAAATCAGGTATTGGCCAGTTATAAAGGCACCTCCTACACACACACACACACACACTACAGAGTTAGTCATAGTGCAACCGGCAGAAAACTCCCCGGGTTGGACAGACACATGTGTAGGAACAAATCACTAACATCTAGACTGTAAAACTGTGTGTGTGCATGCAGACAGGATTCTGAAAAAAAAGTGCCGTTAGTCCGGTAGACCCTGTACAATATTTCTCTGTCTCTTATCTCCTTGTGCATCACATTTCGCATGCATGTGCGTCTGCGCGTATTTTCTCACCGACTCCGACTGCCTGCTTTTGTCCTTGTTGATATTTGCCACATTCAGCCCATCTACAACCACATCAAACGCTGGCTTCCTCTCCACAAACGCCTTGAACCTCTCCAACTCCTGAACAGACACAGAAATAGACAGAGAGAGTGATACTGAGGAAAACAATGAGTCAGTGGAGGAGTAGAGAAGAAACGGATAAAAAAACAAAACAGGCAAGTTACACATGAATATTGTACAAAAACACTTGACACTGCATGACATTACTGCTTTTTTTGCTGTTTAACCACCACAGAGAACATGCAAAATGTGCACGAGTTGCAGTGTACGATAGGTTTTCACTATCACAGCCGTGAAGTGGGCTACTGTCAGTGCACTCTCAACTGTATGTATTGTATGTAAAACATTTGGTCACACTTTATGTACTTACTCCCTCAAGGGGCCAATAAAAAGCATATAAATAAGACGTCTGCACCTGAAATGAAGGAATGAGGAAGGCTTCGTCCGTGTAACAGCTTTGTACCATAATAGGCAAGCAGTGCTGAAGCTCAGAATAGGCCTCCAGCACATGAACGTTGTTTGTAGTACTTTCACTTTTAGATAGCAGCAGTATGGAAATAGGCTTGCAGTGAATTCCCCTGGACTTGAAACTTGACAGCGTGCCCGCCACCATCAGCGCGACCATAAAAATGTAAAAAAGGCTGTAATATTCCTCCTCCGTGCTCCAGATAAAAACGCCTGCCAAGCCCCGTTGATGCTGCAGTATTATTGCTTTAATTCACTAAACCCACACAGACGTACAGTAATTCAATCTAAAATAATGTGCAGTTTCACATTGGAGGCTAGTTTTGGTTGAGAAGGGGGAGATGTGTTTTGTTTGTTTTGGGTGGGAGGCTGAAAGAAATGAAAGAAAAAGACGGATGGATGATGGACAACTGGAAGTGTGGAGAGGAAGAGAGTGATTGGTTCTGATGGAGAAAGGGTGCAGAAACCTTTAAAAAAGAAAGAAGGAAAAAAGAAAGAAGGAAAGATTAAGAGCAGCAGAAGGAGGAAGAGAGAGAGACGGAGAGAGAGTCCAGTATAATTATCCAGGGACTTTCCAGAGTCGATATGTGAAACCAGTTCATTGTGCTGCTGCGGATGATATGACTGCTTAAAACACACACACGCATGCACACACTACAAAAAGCACAATAGTATTCTGTATATTGACTGCAAGATACCAGCTAGAATTACATCTGCCAATTTTAATCACAACACTTTAATAGAAACTTCCTGTTGAGTTTATCTCAGTTCTAAGACTTATCTTATCATTTCCACCTTCTACCATGCTTCTATACAGTGGGTACGGAAAGTATTCAGACCCCTTTAAATTTTTCACTCTTTGTTTCATTGCAGCCATTTGCTAAAATCAAAAAAGTTAATTTTATTTCTCATTAATGTACACTCAGCACCCCATCTTGACAGAAAAAAACAGAAATGTAGAAATTTTTGCAAATTTATTAAAAAAGAAAAACTGAAATATCACATTAATGAGAAATAAAATGAACTTTTTTGAATTTAGCAAATGGCTGCAATGAAACAAAGAGTGAAAAATGTAAAGGGGTCTGAATACTTTCCGTACCCACTGTATATAATTATATATAGAATATATAATAATAATTTGACTTACAATACAAGTTTTCATTTTAATTTGTGATAACATCTACTTATGCCAACCATAAAATTCACATTCTATTGTTGAGAATCCATATTTTAGTAGATGTATGCCACAAGTAATGTTCAAAATAAATGTGACTAAAACTATACATGCAAGTAACCATGCCAACCTAATATGGTGATATGGTCAGCGCCGCGCTTCTTTTAGCCTCATGTCCTGCTTCTGATTCTAAGCTGTAGCCCCTACTACTGTAGCATTACTTGACATTATATTACAGATGTGCATGGTAATATATTATCACATATCTGGGTTTTTTTAAAGTATATAATTGGACCAGTATTTTTATCTAATTGCAATCAACAGAAGGACCCCAAATTATTTTGGATAAATGATGGCTTGTAGCAGCGGCAGTAATACCAGATAACAATATGTACTTGAATGTAAATTTATGGTTTTATTTATTTATTTAGAAGCAGAAGAGGAGTGTATTGTGCATTGTATGTCTTCAGTTGGACTCATTAACAAAGCCCGGGACCCCCGCTGACTCTGACATCAGGACAATCTCTTCTTAAACACCCTTGCCCCTATTAATATACACTTGACACTTTAATACTATACTTGTTTTAATATACTCTCATTTGTTTGTTTATTTACCATATTTTATTGTAAATTTAATGATGTTTCTATTTTTAAATCATGTCTTGTATTTTGCACTGTGTTGGTTGTTTAATGTTATCCAGTCAAATTCATTGTATGTGCGACATACTTTGGCAATTAAACGGTTCTGATTCTGAAAATGTAAAAAATGGACCAAACTTCAGTTTTTGTTCTGATATGTGAGGCTTGTAACCATGCTGAACAGTGTGGACACAAAAAAAGACAAATGAAATGCAATTTAGCAGAACAGTTCATCTAACATGCAACCTTTGAGGAACTTTGGATGCTTTATTTATGCTTCCAAAAATATTAGAAATGTCACTGAATATAATCAAGTGCAATGCATCAATACTGGAAACTACAGCCTCAAAAAAAGCTTTTGTTGAAACTGTGTGTCAGAGGAGTTAAACACAATAGGCTTTATAAAGGTGCTAAACTATGGCTGCTCTGTTTTTCTGGGCACTCGTTGCGGTGTCAAAATGCACGACTTGATCTCAGCGTCTCATATGTCTGTGCTTACAATGACATCACGCCTTCCTGCTGGCTGTGACGACTCTAATCAGCACATGCAGACGAACACAGCTCCCCTTTCTGTCTCCGTCCCTCCCGGCATGCTTCACTGTGGTCTGAAGCGCCCTGTTTGCCCTTAAAAAAAGGAATTGCCTTAAACTGGGAATTAATAACGTCGAGTTAAGCGTCTGTCTGCCTTCCTTGTTCCGTCTCCTCGGTGGGAGGTAGATGTGATCCAGATTCACATGGTGCTCACATGCTGGAAATCCCCTCAATTTATCTAAGTGTTGCACCAACAAACTCCCCCTGACTGCTGAAAGACACAAAGGAAAACATTTAAACGTGCTCTCTGTGTATAAATTAAACATGACGTATTATACAACTATATGTTACTGATGTTGACAACTTTCTTATTGGAACTATTTCAAGTGAATAACCTTGTTTTTAAGTTTATTTTCATTGGCATTGTAAAAAAATACAGCTAGCACATTCCAATCCAATGAAAAGCTTTTGCCCTGGCTCTCTCTCTCCACGCAGACAGTGGATTCATCTCTCCCAGACACTCGCCGTATCCCGATCAACACAACAGATTATAAAGGACAGAAAACCTCAGACTCTGAGGACGGCAGAGATGGCTTGGCGGTATCGTCCTCTGTGTCAGGGACTAATTACTAAATATCAAAGCCATGCAGTAGCACTCCAGAGAAAAAGAGTCTTTGAAACAGATGGACAGACATCTGACGCAACACTTGACTTCCTTTACAACTCCTCAAAAGGAGATCTGATCAGAAGCGGTTTAGCTCTCATTCATCTGGATAGTGAAAGTAGATGAGTTCACTAAGGTTTCAACTAGCCTCACCCTCCCAGTGCTGCATGTGTACCAATGACGCCATCTAGCAGAAGGTAGAGAGAAGGAGATGGAGGGCTAATGAACCACGCTATTGGCAGATAAGCCTCATAATAGATACTTCATTTTTGGTTTAAAAAGGGCTGTTTCTCCAAATTTTGGGACAAGGTGGAATTTTTATTTAGGATGAGCTCATCTTAAAGAAAGAAGAAAAAAAACATACCATTTCAAACTGAACACAGGTGTTACGAGTTCACAAACTCCAACACGATACTGTATTATTCATCGTGTCCTGTATTAATATAAAGGTTAATATAAAGGTAGATTACATTGATGGACAAACTGCAAGCTCAATTCAATTCATATTATCATCAAATATATCATAAATGATCTCTTAAAACCAATGCATATTTCATAACTGCAAAGAATACAATTAAATTAAAAATAAAACTACATTCTATGTCTTCCATTCCTAGTAGAGATGCATTCAAGCTATTTAAATGCTCTTTATGACCTCATTTTTAAATTATTAGAGACCTATTCAGTTATTAGGGACATTGCTAAGCGTGTGTGCGTGTGTGTACCTCCGGTGTAGTTTTGTTAAAAACATCTCGTCCCTGAATGATGTCAGTCATCACTCTGTCTTTCAGCTGTTGGTACTCCTCAGCAGTCAGCTGGATGGACTCTAACTCCGACCCACAACACCGACACACACCCCTAAACACACACACACACACACACACACACACACACACACACACACACACACACACACACACACACACACACACACACACACACACATAAATGACATATACAGGACACACTATTCTGCCCTTGCACACATATGGTGGAAAACACCTTCCACAGAGATTCATGTTTAGATAGGGAAGTGATGAACGTACTTTGGGGTGGCGCCGGTCCAACTTCCTGTCCATCTCTGTCCCGTGAGACTGAAGACAGAGAGGAAGAAACAGACAGAGAAAAAAGAAATGAGAGTGAGGAGTGAAGGGTTGTTGATGTAGATAAAAATGGATGAGATCGCGTTGTACAGACAAGACAAAATGACTAAATGCTATCTATCTATCTATCTATCTATCTATCTATCTATAGAAGGGAGGAAAAACCACCTAAAATGTATTCTGAAGCCAAACCTAAATAAAACTCACCGGGGCAAATAATCAAATCAATAATGTAATGTTTTTATACTTCTAAAATGGCATAATTTTGAAAGAGTTTGCCACAGAATTTAGGTAGATCATATAAAGTGGTTTCCCACCAAACCCTCAGTGTCTTCATCACTCTCTTGTACCTCTCAAACCAGGTCTTGATGCTGCCGGTGAGGCTGTGTTGGGGGTAGATCTGGTTGTTCCTCATGTAGAGCAGAATCCCCAGCAGCCTCTCCTGGTGCTCGGACTGAGACATGGCTTCAGCCTCCTCCCCCCTTTCCTCCTCAGTCTTCCTCACTCCCTTAAACATAGCATCCCAGGTCTCCTGGTGCGGGCTCAGTCCATTCTCAATCAACTCACCATAAAGAGCCCAGGCAGTGGTCTTGTCACCGTTTAACATCGCCGCTGCGATGATATCGCCGTAGTTGCGTGCTGACGGGGTAAAGACCTGTAGGAACAACAGTAAAACCAGGTGACGATAGAGAAGGGGCGCCATGTCCTCCAGCTCCGATATGAGATCTTTAAAAGTAAAAATCAGAATGCTGTTTACCTTCTTCACCTCACGCAGGATGCCGACAGCCTCCCTCCACCTCTCCGTCCGGCTGAAGGACTTGATGAAGAGGCTGGAGGCTCCCGTGTCCAGAGAAGGGAAACTTCCCCGCATGATGTCGTAGACATCAAACACCTCGGCGTCGTGGCCGCCGCTCACACACAGCGTCAGGTACCGTAGCAGCAGCTCATAAGACAGCGTCCCTGTTTCCATGGCTACAAACGTCAGCAGGGACCTGTGGCAGAACGGTGCAGACATTGATGAGCCCTGCTTGTGTTTTCCTCCATTTGGTTATTTGAATTTAATTTAAAATGATAGTGCTCAAACTGTAAAACCAACAATTGGACCTGAAAAAAAAATTCGAAATCACAGACACACAGACACTCGTCCTGCGCTCACTTGGCGATATCCAGCTGTGTCTCGGAGGTGAACAGCGCACACATCATCTGGATGTCAAAGCGTTGAGGATTTCCCAGAGACTCCTTCAGCGTCCTCCACTCAGCAGCAGAGAGCGGCCGGTCGGGAGGCTGCACCTTCGCTGTGAAACATTCATGCTTCAGGTGAAGGAAACTGAAACAGTGATTCCCAAACTCTTTCATAGATTATTTCAGTCTTTATAAGGCAGTAGAAAAACATATTCAAACTAAAGTTATAGCCATGTTAAAGTGTCTAAAAAGATGGATTTAATTGTGCACAATTATTTGAACGGACAGAGACACACATAGAGACACAAAGCTTTCCTGAGTGTATACAGATGCCTAATAATTAGGTAGATAGTTCCAGTGTGTCCTACCTGCTCCTCTACGTGTCCTCCCTTCAGGCTTCCCACCATCCTGCTCCTCATCCTGCGAGACCTGAGATGTTTTCCTCTTCAGCATCTCTGCCATCCTCTTTGCCGTCCCAGCAGCAAACACAGATTTGGGGGAAGAAGGCCTCTGCCAAAGAGGGGAGCTCTTACCTCTTCCCTTCACAGCACCATCCCACAATTCCTCTTCCTTACGTCTGTTGGTGCTATTGTTTGCTCCCCCCTGTCCATCAGTGTGTCCACTGTTCCCTCTGTCTGTCTGTCTGCCTCCTGGGTTTGGGTTACTGTCTCTGGTGCATAGAAAGCGGGCTGAGAAAGGCAGTTGTGATGACTTAGAAGTATTTAGTGTGTAGAAAGCCGAACTTCCCTGGTAGAAGAGCGGCTTGAAGGGTTTCAGACATATTCTGACTTTTAATATCCAGGTGGAGCCCATGTTAGCCTACTCTTTGCTTATAAATCAGCTACAATCCTCATTTACATACCATATACAAACTGTAGAAATATGTATTTCCTAAACCAACGAACTAAAAAACAAATCACATGCTGTTACATGAATGAATAACCTGGAAATGAGACTAGCCTGCTAATAACCTTGCTGTTTCCCAACGCCAATAGTTACTAGAAGATAAATATCCCTCTCGCGTTGGTTTAATAAGTAATTATAACTCTTTAAATGCGACTCACACTTCCTTTCGATATCCAAATCAAATACAGCTTCGTTCTTTCTACAACTTCATGGATAAACACAACTGAGGGAGCTGTAGGCATGACTCGAGTCGCACAACTTGACGTCATCAACGCTTGACAGCTCCGTTTGTGAACTGTCAAGTTTGTAAAGAATACCAAGACCGGTAAAAGACCGGAATATGCAATTTGTTTTGAAATTGATGACGCAAATTGTATCGCTTGAAAATAAAAAAATATATATCTCAAGGAAATCTTGCAAAAATATCAATTCAAATTAATTTCCAAACTGTGTGTCATCTCTTCGATTTTTTGACTTGAGGCTTATTTTTATGATTGCACAGCTGACTTTGTTATTACTATTTGTATTTGAATTGATAGAAACTGTTATGAAGTACATACACTTTAATGCCTCGGCTTTTGTGCGGTTTGCGTTTCCCAAATGTATTAACAGTATGCTTTTATTTTGAAATAGTAAATCCAAACCGGAAACCACATACATGTTCAGTCAGCAACTTGACGTTGTCCCATATTTGTGTGGCTTGGCTACTTTATACAAGTCTTCTTTGCACTGTTTTAAACTTTGGAGATGGAAAGGTTGTACTGCCGAAATATTTGATTCACTTCGGAGACGGTAACATTATGGCTAAAGACCAAGAGCCTCAATGGGTGGATATTTTGAAAAGGAGGTTAGCAAACAGGAAAAAAGGTGAGACAAAATGTAAAGTAACGTCTCACAACGTTAGCTCCTTTGGATCGATAGCTAAAGTCGTTGGTTAGCTAAGCCAACACTGACTTCTCTCTCTCCGTGTCCATGTTGCTGCTCAGACGACAGAAGCGACGAGGAGAAGAAAGCAGAAGAAACGGAGCTGTTCACCAAATACTACACAGAGTGGAAGGGAGGAGGCGACAAAGACAAGTCCTACAAGAACATCCCACGATTCTACTACAGGGTATTATATATATGTATATATATATATCTATATATATCTAGATCTATATATATCTATATATATATCTAGATCTATATATATCTATATATATATCTATCTATATATATCTATATATATCTATCTATATATATCTATATATATCTATATATATATCTATATATATATATATCTATATATATATCTATATATATATCTATATATATATCTATATATATCTAT